ATTTCCCTTGCCTCCGCCCAGCAACAGCTCCAGCAGCAGCTCCAGCAACAGCAGCAGCAGCAGCAGCAACAGCAGCAGCAGCAGCAGCAGCAGCACGCGCTCAATGTGCTAGCCGGGTCAGCGGCGGCCGTGGCCGCTGCCGGCACTGTCAACTCCGTCGCGCCCATGGCCAATGCTTCGACCGCGTCGATGGCCACTGCGGGCATTGGCTCGGGCACCGGGGCCCCCGGTGGCGGACAGCCCGCCCTCGGGGGTGTCTTCTCTGCTGGGCCAGCTGCGCCGGCGGCCACCGCCACCGGTACGGCTGCCGCCTCTTCACTCTCCGCCGGGGCTGGACCGCCGCTGTCGGTGACGCCGCATCCACGCCTGTCGCGACCGCTTCTGCCGCTCAATCGCAGCCAGGGCTCGATGGACACCTTCCCGGCGCACCAGCTCCCCTCACAGGCAGCAGCTGCCATGCACCTGGCCTCGTCTTTGGCCATGCACTCGGCGCCCGGGGCCGGGGCCGACGTCGGCGGTGCCGGCGGCCCGGCGCCAGTCGACTCGCTACTTGGCTCGGTGTCCGGCCCGCTGTCACTAACCGACGATAAGCTTGGTGTGAATGTCCCAGTTGACGGGGGAGCCGATCACTTTGCCCCACAGCCTTGGTTGGGCTACTCCTCGTCGTATGGCCAGTAGTGTGCACGCGCGCGCGCGCGCGCGCGCTTCTTCCCCCCTCCCCCCCCCCCCTTCTCTCCCCTTCCTGCTTCTCCCCTGCCGCCCGGCTCGCGCCTGCACATCCATTCCTGCCTCTTCCCTCCTGTGCTGCAGAATCAACTGCGCATACGTCTGTGCGAACGCGCGCACCCACAGGCACACAGACACACATATATTCCCGATGTGTATAAGTGGCACAAACGCCCCTGCTGCTGCGCGCCGGGACAGGATCCGGCGCATGTCCTTGTTTCCCTCCATGCCTTTGAAAGCACACACACACACACACACACACACATACATACACACACAAACACATACATACATGCATACATACATACACATGATAGCACCCCCTTTGATATGTCGATCCCCTTCCTCCCATCCCACTTGTTGTGCATTTTGTATCTGGCGTAGGTCTGGGTCCCTCTCGTGGGTTGAATTCAATTGCTTCTTTCTTCTCCTTTTTCTTTTCATCTGGAAGGGCCACACATTTATCAGGCGTGTACGGTCTCTCTCTCTCTCCCTCTCCTCCTCCCTCCCTCTCTCCCTCCCTCCCTTCCTCTCTCTCTCTCTCTGCCTCCCCGCCTCCCTGTCCCTGCATAACATCCTCCACTCCTTCCCTGTCCGCCCCTTTCTCGCTTCCCATGCCCATGGACAACTCCACACACATACACACACACACACACACACACACACACACACACACGCGCGCGCGCGCGGGGGGGAGGGGGGGGGGCAAGGACATAATACACGAAGGCCCAAAATGCCTCACGCACGCACACAATGCCGTGTCGCTTCTCTCGTTTCTCTGTGTATGCTCGCATGCTCGCACATGATCGCCCCCTTTCACACTCTCAAAGGGCGGGGGCTTCTCTGCAGCGGTGCCGGCAAGGGGCAGGGGAGGGACGGGCGGAGGAGTGGGGGAGGGAATATGGTCAAAGGACATCTTTCTATCCACACGGGGGAGGGAGAGAGAGAGAGAGAAATAGACACAGACGCGCATCACCACCGGCCTCATCTCAACGCTCCAGGAAGAATGCGTAGGGGATGCGCAGCTCGCTCAGGGGCCGGCTCGTATCCCAGAAGGCCAGCCAAGCGGGAGTACGACCGGCCTCAATGTCAGCAGCCAGCAGGCGCCGGGCGCTGGCGGCGATGCGCTGGCCCAGGGCCACGCGCTCGGCCTCGGCGGCGGCCATGTGCGCCGAGGGGCTGATCTTGCGGGCGTCCGACAGGTGCTGGTCCGGCGAGCGAGCCTTCATCACACGAGCACGCTCCACGGTGCTCAGGTGGCCGAGCTCCTCGAGCTGCTCGACAATGCCGTCATCGGCATTTTGCGTGGCCGCCGAATAGGCCGAGTATGTCAGGGCCGGGGCCGGGGGCAGCAGATCGTAGGCCGCCCGGGGGCAGAGCGTGGCAAAGGCCAGGCCATTGAGGCGCAAAATGCGCGAGAAGGTGTCCATGGTGAGGACAATCTTGCCGACGGCATCGCGCCGCGCCTGCTCGATGATGGCCTGGGCCGCGGCCTCCTGGGCCTCCTCCGTCGGGTGTTCCCGGGGATTGACCCATGTCCGGGCGGTGCCCTTCATGGGAGGGGCCATGGCGAACTCCATGGCCAGCCAGCGCCGGGCCAGCTGGGCCGGCGTCCAGTTCAGGCAGGACCGCTGGCTGATGGGCTCCAGATGCCGGAGGCGCAGGCGCCCAATTTCCGGATACAGGTTCGGGCTCAGCAGGGCCGGCACCAGGCTGCCGCCCTGGCGCACGGCATTCGGCGTGAGGAAGTCCTCCATGTCGGCCGCCAGCTCGTCATCGCAGCTGGCCATGTCCATCAAATCGGCCCATTCCTCGGGCGAAGGCTGGACCGGCGCCTCGGGATCCTCGGTCCACCAGGAGTAATCCGGCTCGAAGAGCAGGCGCTGGGGCTTGGGCTCCGGGGCAGGGGCGGCCGCCGGCTCGGCCGGGTCGCCCTTCTTCTTCTTGGCCACCTCCGGGCGCCGGGTCACCCGGTACTTGACCTTCAATGGCCAGGCCAGGCCCTCGGGCTGCGGGGCCAGGAGATCGCTCGGGGCACCGCCCCGGACGCGGCCCCGGTGCCCGCACCCGCCGCAGCCGGCCACCCCGCCGGAGTATGCCAGCAGCAGGGCGCGCGTGACGATGGTGGCCGCGCGTGCTTGTGAAGTGTCCAGCACTCGACGAACATCGCTGATGGTCCGGTGCCGGACCAGCACCGCCAGGGCCGTGGCCGAGTCGCTGACACGCTGGGCAATCTCCGGCGGAATGCCGATGTCCTCCAGCCAGACCCCCGTTTGCAGGTGGTTAAAGGCATGCAGGGTGATGGTCAAGTCCGGCGGGCAGGTCACCATGGCCGGATCGTCGAGGGCCGGCCAGTTGTCCGGAGCACCGGGCCCGGGCAGCTCGGCGGCCGGGCTGCCGCCCGATGGAGACCGGGACCCGCCTGCGGGGCTGGTCGGGGCGGTATGGGCGTCGGTGTTGGAGTCGCTCCCGTCGGGCGTGGTGGCGGTGCCGGTGGCGGTGCCGCGTGCGATCTCGGCCCCGGACCCGGGGATGCGAATGACATCGGGCGATCGATCACCGGCATCCGCATGCACCGGCGGCGTGGTGGCCCCTCCGCCGACATTCAGGCTGAACCCCTCAAGGGGCCCGCCGATGGGAGCCGACCGCAGGCGCGCGACCGCCACCCGGACCAGCTGCTCCTGAGTCAGGTGCTCGGTGGCCGGGTCGCTGGGCCGCACGGCCAGGATGGCAGCCGACCGGCGCCCGGCCGCGCGCACGGCGCTTGCCAAATCCGCCAGCTGGGCGTCCAGCACGCGCAGGCGGCCCAGATGGCCGGGAGTGGTGGTCAGGATTTCCTCCAGCTCCTGCTCCATGATCGTCAGGGCCACTTGGGACATGTTCTCCACTAGAAAGAGGGATCGGGGGGGGGGGGGGGGGGGGGGGGGGGGGGAAGCCGTTGTGCTCTGCGTAACAACCATCCGCCCGCCGGTGGACAGCTGTTGCCAACAGGGGGGGGGGGGGGGGATTGGATCTGCGCTCCTGCGCCCCCAGGGCCGGATCCCGGGGGCGC